GCTTAAAGAAACCCTGACACATGTGGGGACATATGTGAATACTGAAGACATTACATAAAACTCAAGTCAGTTAATTCCAAAAGTACAAACATTTGAATGGCTGTGCTTGAAGTACCTATAGCAATGTGACTCACAGAACAGAAACAGTGATCACCATCACAGTACACTTCAGTTTAGGGAGATGTAAATGAAATTAATGCCGCTGGTGTACACATAAGATGGCTAAAAAAGCAGCACTCTAGGAGGCTGAGGCAGGAGACTGTCAAAGTTGAGGTCAACTGTGCACTTGGCAAGACAAAGTCTCATAATAAAAATAAAAGAGCTTAAAATATAGCTGAGCGGTAGAGCACTCCTTGGTTCAAGTCCATCTGGTAACAAACAAACCCCAAAGATAAATGGGGAGAAAAAGAAACAGTCCTCAATGAAGAAACCCTGACACATGTGGGGACATATGTGTCACTACTTTCCCACACACGTTCAACCTCTAACCCCAAAGGGCAGGCCAGGAACACACAGGTGCTATACTTTACACACAAAAGCAGCACCTCATTGAATATAATCTGGAATCAAGGAAAGATCATCCACCTTCAAGTGAAAATAAGAAAGGGGAAATAACACCCTTGTCCTTGTCCTCACAGCTTATAGTCACAGCAGCGCCATCCTCCCCAGCTCCTCACCTTGAGCGCCAGTTGGAATTCCAGGAGCTTGGTATAGCAGGCAGCTCGATTGCTGTACAGTTTGGCATCTCGTGGGTTCCGTTTAATGGCTTCTGTATAGTGCTTCATGGCCTGAGGATAGTCTCCTGGATAAGGAAAACAAATACTACTATTGAAAAAGCAAAAAAGCACCTCTTTCTCCAGTCCACATGTCCCTGTAGCCAGGAGCAAAAAGCCACCCTTCCACACACTAGGGTCCACAAAGGCCCACCAGGGGAGACAGGATACCTTTCTGAAAACACTCATTGCCCTTGTTCTTTTCCTCCAAAGCCAGGTCAGGGTTAATGTAGGCCAGCCGCTCTTGCTCCTTCAGGATTTTCTCTGCCTAACAAAAAAAGTGGTTGCAATAGTAATATAAATTCCCACAAACACTGAAACAGTAGGCTAATTAGAGATAATGATTTTTAGAGTTCTGCTGGCAAAATTTACTTTTGTTTCAGAAATTTTACACTCCTTACTGCACACACCTGCAGCTGGAAATGGATCAGGGCAACAGAACATGTGGCTTACCAGGCTTGAGGCTCTCTCTGGGTTTAATCCCAGTGATACACAAACATTGCATGTCTCCTTAGCAAGGTACCCAGCTAACAGAATGCACAGTAGTACTACACTTGGTGCAAAAACAAGCCCTACGGCTAGTGAGATAGCTCAGCGGACTAAGAGCCTGTTTAGGCAAGCACAGGGAGAGGGGATCGTGCCCCGGCACCACATGTCGCACCAGTCCCACCCTGGAGTGTGTTGAACTGGCCAAAGTCCCAGTGTGGTGGCACATACCTGCAATCATAGCACTGGGGAGGCTGAAAACAGAAGGATCACTATGAATCCAAGCTACATAATGAGACCCTTCACCAAATGCATTAAAAAAAAAAAAAAAAAAAAAAAGTCCTACAAGAAAATGATGCACATCCTAAAAGCACGATTAAAATTTT